TGCTTTGTAGCAAGTATTGCTTGATACATGTATCTAGTTTTATATAAATTCTCCGTGCATTATGAAAGACCATTGTTTTAATAAGACATAAGCTGTAAGGTATACAGGATACGAAAATTCAATAAGCAAACAGTACCATTAGTACTTTAATTAGTTTAAGAGAGCTAAATGGAATTTAATGTTCAATAGACACTTCGTTATTAATTTCCTGTGGAATAAATGCACAGGTACAGTGCAATACAAAATAGACAACACGTATTATTTCTTACTTTGACCAGTCGAAATAAAAAGTCGAATGCTGAAGCTTGTGAACAATACTTTTAATATCTGAGAATGTAAATTGAAGAATATGTTATGTACATTATATGTCTTACAGTAGATGAACAAAAACAATCAAATAGGAGATTCCGAGAAACAATACAAAATGACACTTTTTAACCAATTCCACGTGTTAGGCTAGATAAAATTTTAATCTATTTTCGGATGATAATATGAAACCCATGATATTTTTTTAACAATCTGCCTTATTATTTATACGGTCACATACTTTTTTACAAGAAATATCTCAGCAACAACATCCATTTCAATTAAGTAGTTCACTCGAGTGAAAATAACAGCTCTCTAATAACATTAAAGAGATTTAGAATGATAAGTCCTGATGAAGAAAATAGAATGTAAATGAGTATATTAAATTTAAAAGAAGATGTGCAGCTTATTATACGGAAACCATTATCTGTGCACTCATTCATGATAATACTCTTAATTTGTCCATAAATACTTGGGATGATACTGACAAAAAAGCGATGGTTCATTCAAGACATTTATTTGATAAATATTTTTTCAGTGATTGTGAGAAAAAATGTCTTAGAACTTATAACTTTGTATATTTTTGAAATTTTTTATGTGCATCAGTGTGCGCTAAGGCAATCATCTTGAAAGAGAAAACGTCACCTTCAATGTAAACATGTTGAAGAAAAAAAGTCGAACAGTATTTTATAAAACGGCTTCACCAGATGTGGATCTCATACATATATTACCGTTGAAATTTAACTTTCGTCTTTGGAAATATAGTTGCGCACTTTAGGCGTCTTCAAAAATGACTCGAGACAAACCAGAATTATTTTCATGTCCAGGTGAGTGAGCGACCTGTTGGTAGCTCAACTATGCAAGTATGTTAATGTGTGCTTTACATTAACGACACATGGTCACAATATGCAAGGGGGTGGCTATGTTTGTAAAACGGGTAATGGACGGTAGAAACAGGATAGAGCTGTTGGAATGACATGGAAAGATCTCGAAATTGAATCTTACTAGAGTCATAAGAAAATTGTACTTAGAAAAAAAAAATTTCAGTTTAAATGTCAAACAAATAGATATTTATATGTATTTATCATTGGCAATGTAAAAACTTGCATGTAATTTATTCATTGAATCTTTCACTAATTAGGGTCTATTTTCAAGAAGGATAAAGAATAAAATAAGAAGATGAGTATAGGTCAATAGGACAGCACCCAATTCAAACAACAGAAAAAAATATCAAGAGCTTATGTTTGTACTGTTATGTGAACCGAATCAAAGTATAAGTTTCGTATTCGCATTCATATAAAAATATATATCTAATTGTGTGTTATGTCTACGTATAAACGAAAATTTACAATTGAAATTGAAATAGAATGAGACTTGAAATATATTTTTAAACTTTTTTTTTTACAAATATATGGCCTTCTGTCTGCCGACTTGGTCCTTTATCAAAAATAGAAAAGAAGCAGGCATTATCCTTTAATTTAACTTTCCGCTATATATCATAGATAAAGGATGTTGTCCTTCGCTGAATAATTCTCAAAGTTTGGTGCATCTATGAACTTGACTATGGACTATCTGTGTCACAGATGACAACGAATATGTCTCATTTGTCGTAATCCAAATCCCGTCCTTTTTTTGCTCGATTGTGACACTACTGAATGCGACTTATCATCGGAATTGTATTTGCGTGAGCAATACCACGGGTGCAACATATGGTGCAGGAACTGCTTACACTTCCGGAGCAACTGAGTTCCCCTGTTATTTTAGTTGGGTACATGTTATTCAATCTTTTAGATTAGTTTTTTGTATAAATGCTTGTCTTTTCGTCGTTTCTATTTTTTGGTCATGGTCTTTTTTATGTCTGTTTTATTGGACATGATTTTTGATTACTCCCTTGGTATCTTTTATTAAATAATTACGTAATTACAGTAAAACCCATGCTTAAGAGGGCTGTTAGTTTGGATGTCAAGGATGTATAGATACGCAGTAACGCCTGGTCGGAATGAGTACTTTAAATCCGAAGGCTCGTGTAAGGAGAGGGTCAAAGTCTCTGCATATTAAATAAACCTTGAAACAACTCTTTGAGTGAACCGTAGGCGACCTGTGTCTAGGAGAAATGTCTTTCTCTATTCAACATAACCTCTTTTTCAAGTAGCAATCTAATTTATCCGTCCTTGATACCGTTCGACCCTTATAGCGGGATTTGTTTGTTTAATTGCTTTATTTTATTTTATACTGACTTGTTCTTGTACTTAATATGGACGATATATTTGCTATGGAAGTTAGGCAAACAAATATCAATCGATCATATCGTAAGAACAAAGTTTTTTTTTTGAGATGGCAGTTATCCAAAGCATTACATTTGTTTTTTTTTTTTTTTTTTTTTTTTTTGTACAGTCCAGAAGAAATCTTTTCAAATCTATTCAATCATTGGAAATTTAGTATTGACGACGGGTACCCCTACGGATGTTATATAAGAAGTAAGTTGATGTGTTCATTCGGAATAGTTGTTTAATAACAAATGTAGGATTTACCTTCATGAATGACCAAACGGAATTTAAAAAGAGAATAGTCAAAACCATCTAAGATAAACTTTGCCTGAGGGTCCTGGAACCATAGTTTTCTTACTTATTTCAAAATTTATCAACGGAAATTAAAACTGAAATGCATATTTTAATGGACAAATGAAGCCCTTGGGGACTCATAGTCCACAGTCGGTATCGACTCAGTGCTAAAGAAAATAAAATTAAAGCAATATAAATATTGTGCTTCAGAAATGTTTTTTTTTCTAAATTTGCTTTCATCAGGAAACCCAAAACAGGTTAAAATGTCGCTAGAGTTGCCATGAATTTTGAAGTCAGTTCCTGAATGTTGATAGAATATACAATAAGGTTTCTTCTTTTTTTCTTTTGAAAAGACTCGTAAAAACATTTAGTAGATTTTATCCTAAATTTCTTTAAGAAAAAATAAAAACGCTTTCTTCCTAACAATTAAGCGGTCTATTGGAGGAAGATGATTGTATTTTTGGGGTATTATCCAATATCATTAGTTGTTTTGAAGCGCATTGTACCATAAACTCATACTAAAATTGGAAAATTATATATTAATTGTTTGGTGTTAGAATATTACATGCATATTCAGGACAAAAACCAGATAATTCCATACGGTGATACATGTATAACCTGCATAATACTACAGCGACAAGCTCAATCATACTTTTAACTAGCTAGCTTATACGTTTAAAGAGAGGCGAAAGATACCAAAGGGACATTTGAACTCATTATATAGCTTCACTATATAGCCGAATCTTCAATTTGTTGACCGACAGAAACAGAAACATTAGTCATAAAGAAAAATAAAAATGACGATGCCACAGGAAGACATGTCACCCTACCGTGATACATTGTTTTGGTCTTGTATCTGTTCTGCGCCTACCTGTCTGTAAATGATGTCTACTAAGTGGAAAAAGAACAAATACCCATTAATATTGTCAACAATTTGCCGCTACTCATTAACTATGTAACTAACGTCACTTATGCTACCTATTGTTTACGTAACGCTGTTGTAACGTAACGCCGTTGTACACGTAACGTTGTATTGTGCGCAACTAGTCATTACATCGATGCAATTTGTATGAAACACACGTCTTATCAATCAAAGCGATGTACTAGCCACAACCTTCACGATATTGCCACAGAAAAACTCGTCTTTTATATCCTTCAGACATTACCTAAAATGGACTTCTTAATTTGTCATTAGAATAGAGAGTGTAACTAGTGCGCCGTTATTTTGATAAAGAATATAGTGATTAGACAGTTCAAGGATTTCTTTTTATATAATGGACTTTGAATGGTTTTAAAATTATCATTTCACATTGTGTATGCTAAATTTTTTTTAACAATTTTTTATTAGTTTTCCCTTCTCGGCGCCCCTAGTGTCAAGGATTTGCCGCTATTTATTAACTATGTAACAAATGACTGTCTCTTTTGGGTATCTTCTGTATAGTTTTTGACAAATGAAATTTTCCGAATCTAACACAAGCCAATGCAAACAATTTTTAATTAAAGAAATGATTTTAAAAAACAGAATTTCTTTAAGTTCAAATGGTCCTCATACATGTTTTTATGACTGGTTTTCTCATCTAACTTCCCCCGCATAGGCGTTTATGACTGGTAAATCTCTCAATGACATAGTAAGAAAAGGAACGATCAATTGTCTTTTCTTTTTTGAGTTTATCATCCAAAGTCAAGTTTATGAATATATTCAAGGCCGGTTAGAATTGAACAATAAATTAAGGAAATATTTTTTTATCAAAAGTGAACTCGGACCTAAAATGTTTTGACTCTCACTGGCGTGGCGTCAGAATATTGTATCTGTGCTTTTTCCTTGATTTTTTTTACGCCTACATTTATATAAACATAGATGTACATTTGTTAAAGAGTCCATATCCTCCCACCCTAATGAAGGTAACAGAAATGTTAAGTCAACAATGAAACAATTTGCTCAACAGCCTAAATGCGTCATATTTCCAAAACGCGCAATCGTCGCATTCCTAAATGAAATTTGGGTTTGAATTTTTATCACGTAATTTAAGGATCAGTAACGCCTTATCTGATTGCGGAATCACTGTATAGGACGAAAAACAATTATTCCTAATTACGTTATTTGAACATGAACATACAAGTATACTTAACAACTTTCCTATCTTTTAATGTGTCGCTCTGCACACATGCGTAGAACAGAGGTGTATGTTTACCGACTACTTAATTATATTGTCTCCGTACTTTTGCTGTGATATAAAGTAAGCCGGCATAAAATAATTTTCTGTGACACATTTTATTTTCCTGTTATTAGCGATTGATCTCTTAGGGCTGATAGAAAAACCTCACAGGTAAGTCGTTCATAGCTTTTTTTCTCTAAAAACTTTTAACAATAATTTTCCATAGTGTTTTTCGTTTTAATTTGACATGCAAAAATAGTTCAATTATTTAATTAGGCAATTTAACGTTTTCATAAATTTAGTAAACATGTTTCCTTCTAAATGCATACTACGAATTTTCTTTTGTGTGTATCAGTATATCTGTTTTTTTGTATTTCAGTTATTTTAAACAAAATACGGATTTATGAAATTCATAACATCTTATTTTGTATCTTTTTTTGTACATCGATTTCAATTCTTTATACGTCCTTATATCTAAAAGCAGCAAAGCTATAATCATGATTAGATTCACATCTTATTTCTGTTAAAAAATGGTACAGTTATTTATCGTATGTCTTTATTTCTTAAGGCTTTAATTCTCATGTCTGTATGTATGTTTTTCTTTCTATTTGTCCAAATTGAAAGAGCAAATACGAACAATCAATTTTTCGATGAGTAGCAATTCTGTTAGTGATCGATAGATTATTCAAACTCGATTAAAAGGTGTATTTCGTTTCTTTTAAAATATAAAAAAGATATTAAATGTTTGATAAAGAATAGCTTGTGTAATTAATCATGTGTAGTTTATGATTTTGTGTTTAATACTATCTATTATCATCAGATATAAGTATATCCTACAGATTCTGCCTTGAATGATGTATGTCCCGGTGATTAAATGATTGACTTCATTCTTAAGATGAAGCACAATTTTCTTATATTTCGCACATGTGATTCATGTGAACAAATTAAATCTGCCGCTATCATTAAGACACTTTTGAAAATATCGTGTTAATTTAAGAAAATGTTGGACGACATTCAACGAAAAAGCAACCCAAACATTGTTAAGAACACTGAAAATTTCCAACCTTCAATGATAAACAAGCGTTCACACTGTACTGGTAGCCCTAAATTAATCCAATTCTATACAGTTTTAGACTAATTTGATAGAGTAGATCAAAGGTTCTTACATAAAATTAAATTTTGAAATCGTAAAACACTACGAATGAAAAATTCTACGGTCCTTGCTTAGGACAGGCACTCTAAGATCTCGCGGTCTTAAATTCGAATAATAAAAAAGTAGAAGTATATCCAGTGGCAATCCAACATTATAATCAAAGTAGGATTTGAGATCAAAGTCAAGGTAAAACAAGCAATTCCTATTCCACAAGAGGAACATGTTACACGAAAAGTAAAAATCCGGTGATTATTCGCGTTTGTGATAAATCATTAACGAGGAACAGGTCACGGGAGTGTGGTAACAACAGAAACACATCTGTGGTCATCTGAGCACAAATATTTCGTCATGTTCAGCTTGAGTAACATTACTCTCGCTTTTATATTAGCTCGTTTAGTTGAATAGCAAATTATTCAAGCCTTTTCAAAAGATACATATTTTTATTATTTTTGTCTTTTTTGTCTTAATTGTGTTAAATGATTTCTTTCTCATTTTAGATCACCAACATATCTTTTTACTTATACAGGGGAAAACACACAATTCTATTTTTAGATAACAAACCTTGGATTCTAGTGTTTTCAAGTGACTTCCACTTGATTTAAATATTTGTTTGTACAATAGTACTTTGCTCTATTATTAGCGAAACGAATATTATTTCTTGCTGCACTGCTATCATCAGATAGAAACATCTCATTAAACAGTGGCGGATCCAGAACTTTTTATAAAGGGGGTGGGGGGGTCCTCTGACTGACCTAAGATGGGGAGGGGGCGCTCCAGTCATGCTTCAGTGATTCCCTATATAATCAACCAAATTTTTCCCACAAAAGGGCCCCCCTGGATCCGCCTATGTTAAAGGTTACGTTAATTGTGTCCAAAAGGCCAGTCACTCAACCTCTCTTAATTTAACAATTTAGAAAATCTCATCTCTTAAGTAATTTGCATTTCATAGTGTATGAGACAAGTTTACGTGAATACACTGTATACATACATAGGGAAAAGGAGAATACTAATATACAGAAACATTTATACAAATTTAAACCATGATATTTTTCTACATAAAGACTATATTTTTGTTTAGGGGCCAGCTGAACCTCGCCTCCGGGTGCGGGATTTTCTCGCTGTGTTGAAGACCCATTGGTGGCCTTGGGCTGTTTTTCTGCTCTTTGGTCGGGTTGTTATCTCTTTGACACATTCCCCGTGACCATTCTCTATTTTATTGTTAATATTATGCTTGGTGGTTGTTATAAACGTCTTGCAATCATTTTTTGTCACCATCTGTGGTTGTTACATCCTCAATATTTTATAATTATTTATTAAAAGAATTCACTGTACATTTCAAACATTTGGTTGTCTCGTTTGAAATTCTTTTACGCATTTGTTAGACTTGGGTAGATATTTCCATTTGTTTACAGCGCTAGATAGCATTTTTTTCGATCTCGCATCAACATAAAGGACGTTTTCTCTTCACATCCTTTGCTTGTGTTATTGTGTTGATTTCTCATTGAAGTTTTCCCCACACTTCCTTTGCTTGTGTAAAAACTCATCAAAGAATCATAGAACCTGCAAATAATGCAATAATTCCCTTCCTTCTCTGAATGGACAGGAAAGTGTTCATGGTATACTAAAGATGTTTAAGTGTTTGATTCCATAAGTAATCCCGGAAATACCTTTCGTGTTTGCTCCTGATAGAAATGGTTCAGTACAATTTGCACATGTAAATGAATAAGTAATTTGTCTAGCAGAAAGTATTAATGAAGCTGTCCGGTATTTCCAACACATGTCAATAATGAAACAAATGACAAAATTCTGACAAGACAAAGGGAAACATTAGCTTGAAGATCCTTTCTGAAAACTTGCTAGAGCCAATGTCTGAATGAGAAGTAAACAAATCCATGTCATGATCAATTGGTGACAACGATTTTTACTGTAAGTGTAGTAGTTATTGGTTTAAATGGCTTTAGGATATCGTATTTCTACAGATGACACTTGTTTCAATATCGGTATATTGGAAGGTTAAAAAATTTTCTTATATTAAACGTTACACATGTATCAGAAAGCTCACTAGATCAAGGTCTCTACAAAGCATGTGACATGTTAAGAACATCAGATTTTAGCTGTTTGTATAATTTTTGAAGTTTTAGGATTTGTTTTCAATCCTCATCAGATGGTTTTGACATATGGGGTCGATTCACTTTGTCTTATCGTTGTTCTGCATATATTCATCGTGCACTTACTACAATATGTGATTCTTCTTGCTAATTAACTTTTCAGAAGGATAATAACTTTATGCTTTTTTTTAGTTTTTATGATGTTGTGTCATTGACGTAAACCCAGCATATTTTTTTTTTATTAGTTCCTGAAAATAAGTTAAACGCGGAAAAAAAATCTTTTCTAAGGGTGATAAACTGGATTTAATATACTTGTTAGATTCAGGTAGAGCAAGTTCATGAACACTCATTTCGTGGTAATGATAATACAAATTATCCTAACATTGTGTCAAGGTGATTGTCATATCATACAACGTAGTTACCACTGAACTTAAGCGATGTAAGACAGCCTAATAAACGCATTCAATATGTAAGACTAACACAGTTAAGCTACGCTTTTAGACAAATACTCTCCAGATAAGATATCGAGTGCGAAGAGTTCACCATGTACCAATTCTGTAGTTGTTAAGTTAGTATGGGAATCTTCCGCCATCTTGGATTGTAAAAATTAGCAGAACAGGTCTAGATTTTCCAGCGAGTCAGCAAATCTCGATGCAGGAATGCAATCTACAGATAAAAAAAATCATTTAAATGAACAGATGTATGTGAACTAGATGTCTGCGAGTATAACATTTGTTTGTATGCCCCCGTTGCAGCGGAGGGGGCATTAAGTGTCACCCTTGTCCGTCCGTATGTTCGTACGTACGTCCAAAAATTGGTTCCCGTTCACTAACTTTAGTTTGCCTCAACTAATACACAATGCTTATTACCACAAAACAGAGATCAAGATCGAATTTGTGTGGCGTCACTTTTACCGTTCTCGAGTTATGCCCTTTTATAACGTTATATGTAATGGACACATTCTCCATTTATTTTTAACTTGTCCATTTATTTTTAATGTATGAGTTATTGAAAAATTCGGGGACATTGCAAAAGAATGTTTATACATTCCGAACATATCAGAATACAATTTATAATTATTTCATTTAACGTTTAGTTAGGCGTGCTAGAAAAAAATAAACAGTTGTCAATTTGTGCCTCATTGAAAAGTCCTTCAACGCGTCAAGTAGGTACTTATAAAGACCACAACACTTAAGCAATTACGTATTAACATGAATAAAAGGAGATGTTGGTATATATCAATGAGACAACAATTCGAAGAAGTAAACAACAACAACACACAAATACCCTTTCGTGGTCTTCAAGAGAGGCAGAAAACACAAAAAGTACAATCATAACACTATGGCAAAGATCGTAAAAACGACGATATAAAAAAAGAATCATAATTGTCGATAGAAACGTTAACGTACTATAAATGCATTCTAAAATGAACGAAATATTATAAGTATTTTGTCATTTTCATCATGAATGTGTCTCAAAAGTTAACTGAAATCTCATTTCCGGAAACCTCTTTTTTTGGGTACATGAGCCTAATACTTTAAACATTGAAAGACTCTAATAAATTCTCCTTATTTAAGACTAAAATTGGAAATGTTCAAAATATTATGGTATTGTATTTTTTTATGTATAAGTAGTATTGCTAATACCCCTGTGTTTGTTTTATTAACACCAATGGACATTTTCGACTTTATTAAGGTCATTTGGTCTTTAAAAAAGGTATTTGGTACAAAAGTGTGTTATTTACTTCTCCAAACAAAGTTATTTTCAAAGTTAGTGAATTGGTCTCTGGAAGGGCAATCAACCGTTCACTTGAAAACAATAGCTTGTCCGTCGTCGATTTTGCTAAACATAGTTCGTTATAAAATTACTCTGTGTCAAGAGTGGCAAATTTTTTTAAAAATTCCAAAAAA